TAGGGCTAAAAATTATAGGTTTTTAGGGCATTTTTAATATATGTTTTTTAATTATTTATAGACTTTATCCATGGTTGGAGGGACTTGTGTTTTTTCCTTTTTTATTATTGTGAGCCGCCCAGAGTCACCCGTTGGGGGAAATGGGCGGCATACAAGTTCGATAATAAATAAATAAAAAAATAGACCCAAGAAATACATATAGAGGAATGATTTTGATTAATAGTAAAAAGAAAAAAATAAAGCTGATAGAATAGCAAGCATAGAGTTTTTGGAGCAGAAGGCAAGAGACTTAGTGGATTGGAATGAGCCAGTTGGTAAGCTGTCCAAAAGTAGTATATGCATATAGCATTTGTTATTGTTACTTTTCATACTGTACCACATAAGAATATAACAATATTAATCAAGCAGGTCAAGTTGTAACTGAGCCTGCTCTTAAATAAGGGAATGTGAGCCCTTTAATATCTTATTTAGTGGATCTGCCTATCTAATGGTGAGTAAAACCAGAAGGTTAGTCATAAATCACATTTGCTTGATTCTCTGCCCCTTGCAGGAAATCCTAAATGGAATTTTTATTAACCAGTTTGTGTATTTTCTCAAAATGTAGAACATGTCCTTTTTCTACATGTGTGTATATATATTTTCTTTCATAAGGCATGGAGGAGTGACAGCGGGTACCTTCTGTGCATTAACAACACTTATGCATCAGCTAGAAAATGAAAATTGTGTGGATGTTTATCATGTAGCTAAGATGATCAATTTGATGAGACCTGGAGTTTTCACAGATATTGTAAGTAGGCAAGGATTATTCTGCATGATGAAATTGCATTCTTTTATGTGGTGAAATTGCATTTCCAAAGAGATAAAATCACATGTTAAATAGTTAAAATAGCTGGCCTGGTATTGCTTCAAATTAGCAATGATTAATTTGCTGAACATGGATGTACTTGATGTGTACATCAAGTGTTGCTTTTGAGTTTTTGAGTTTTGCTAGGAACAGCTACTATTTTGAGTATGTCTCTTTTACATTTCCTCCCTACCATCACCCATATTTTCCATTCTAACCAATATGCACTATTCTATGCCCCGGGAAATGCTCTCCTTCCTGTGACCGATTGATGGACAAATGGTGTCTCTTTCAAAATCTCCTGAGCATGCCATTGCTTGTTTCTTGTCACCTGCTGGCTGAATGTGCTATTAGTGATTTTCGTGATCCGTACAAGCAAGCCACACTAATGTCCCATCATTTTCTACCCCCCCCCCCAAACAATCTTTTTAGGACCATTACCAGTTTCTGTACAAAACTATCCTCAGTCTTGTTAGTTCAAGGCAGGAAGAAAATCCTTCAATATCCATCGACAGTAATGGCTCAGCTTTACCAGACGGCAGTGCGGCAGAGAGCTTGGAATCATTAGTTTGACTTCAATCAAAATATGACAGAGCGATTACCCAGAGCTGGAAATATTTCCTTTTTTACAAGGGGCAGGGTGAATGGAGGGATGTCCAGCTATTAGATAATCTTTTTTTTAATTTCATTTGAGTTGAATAAACATTTCTTGCAAATGCATTAACAATGTGTGCCTTTTTGAAAAAAAAAACTCGTAATGCATTTTGTTACGTTTGAACTAATTTTACTGAACTTTATGGTTTCTAAGAATGATATTGTAGTCTTTTACAGTATTAGTTTTTAATTTTTGTGGCTACATTTTCACTCAAATTTTATCATAATTATAGATGCTGAAGTTTGCAGCAACACATGTTTTAGTATCCAATTCCCTTACTGTTATTTATAGCACTCCTAATACCATTTGTTAGAAATTTAACTTTTAATATGGTAGAATGTAAATATATTCCCTGTAATATTCAACATTTTAAGATTTTGGTAGGCATTTAGTAGAGCTGATACTTACTGTAAATATTTCTAGAGTGGATTCCATGGACCAAATTTATATTTATAATTGTAGATTTTTATATTTTACTACAAAGTCAGTTTTCTAGTTCTGTGTAATTGCATTGTTAAAAATGATGTAGTTCACATTACCTGTTCTTAATTTTAGTAGCTTCTGATATATTGTCATGCATCCTAAATGAGTAACTCTATCTCTGCATGTAATTTTAACTTTTGTGGAAAATTGAAATATACTTGTTTTGAAATATGAAGTTTCTATGAAAATAACGTCTGTACTCAGCATTGTTTCAACGGTTTTATTCCATGGCATTGCAAAAATAAGTATCAGTATTTCAGCTTGTATTGAACACTTGGCAAAAATAAAATCTGCCTCAAGCCTCTTAAAGACCCCCATTGCACCTTCAGAGATGCCTTTTCATTTTTCAACAGCAAAATATTGGCAAGGCAGGACAACATTCAGAGACGTGGAGGCTTACATATTTAGGATTCAATTTGGCACCCAACCGCTCCAAAGTGCTACTATGTTTTAAGGACACTGGCCACAGTGACATCTATGGCAGGGCCCTTCCCTATAGGAGCCAAATAGGATGTTTTCCCTCTGTGTTATTCAACAGGAAAGCTTACTGTTATTCGTTTTTTGTTTTTTTGGGGGGGGTGTTATGCTCTCCTTGTTGCTTTTATTTTTGTATTATTTGTAAGGTGCTTAGAACCTTTTGGGAACTGAGTGGCATATAAATTGTAGAAATAACTGTATCTGAGATACAAGCTATCCTAACAAAAGATAGATAGATAGATAGATAGATAGATAGATAGATAGATAGATAGATAGATAGATAGATAGATAGATAGATAGATAATTTCCCCTACATACCTCCTTTCCTAAATGTCAGTCCATCCACTATACAGTTTGCAAGTTTTCCAGTATTTCACTGATATTAATCAACCAAATTTCTTGATTTTAACTTGGTACCTTGTGCATATATTCTTGTCATGGTTGAACCAGAAACCAAAAACCTTACAAAATCAGGCAATATGCTAAATGAGTGCATCCTTAGCTGTAAAAGAGGCCAGGGCTATGGATATCCAAGCTTATCCATTAAGATTCATTTTGACATTTTATAATACTGCAGCAACTTCACCAATTGTCATTAATTGCGAAAACATTTTCAATTCATGATCCATAGAAGGTCTTCCTGTCATGCGAACAAGCCATCCTGCGGATAACTGTAACTTTTCTTTTTCACCAAACCTGACTGATTTCAGAAGCTAAGGAGAGTTAGTTGCAGTTAATACTTTAAAACATCCTGGAAGAATTCAGTGGCAAAACCATTTCTATAAATTGTTAATAAAACTACATGAATGCAGTCACCAGAAATTGAGATCTCCCAGAGAAGCATTCCCTATAAAACAGGGCCTTATGCCTAAGAGAATTCAAAATATTTCTGCATGTGCATCTAATGCCTCTTTGTAGTAACTGTACATAAACTATACAGTTACTACAAAAATGCAATGTGAACACTCTCAAATATGTGAAGAATTTCTCACACAGCTTTGATCTAATAAAGATGCTTATGAACTTTATTTTACACTTAATTTTACACTTTTATTTTGTTTGGCAGGATAGCAAAAGCACCAGGTTCTTTAAACCCAACATAACATATTACCTCTTCACTTTACCCTCTGCAAGAAAATAATTTTTAAAAACAATACCAAATTACAAAACAGTCTCTCACAAACACACTTCTCAGTGATTCTGGATTTAGTTAGACAATTTCTTGTCCCTTTCCGATCCTGTAAACTGACAACCATATAAAACTAAAGCTTCCATTACGATAATCCTTTTATTTGGGGAGGAGAATAGAGGTCTGAATCAAAATTTCAAGTAATCCAGAGATGATTCAGACCTTCAAAGCCCACACAGCCGTCTGTCCAAGAATCAGGAAGGCTAGTCCCATCCCAGGCTGTATGTTTAAAAGGGCAGGTTTGAAAGGTGTTTTCCTCTGCAGTTCACCTTCATTTAAAAGGGTTGTACCTTTTTCCCTGACTGAAATCTAAACATGTACATCATTCCTTCTGAAACTCTACTAATACATTTATTCCTTACTTCCTAGTTTCCTTATTCTCCCACTTCTCCCCATTGCACACTCTTGCATGCATGATCCGTAGTAATAGGCAGTAATACAGCTTGATGATTTAAAGTTTTTTGGATTTATTTTGGTACAGGGGCTTTTACGTTAAGGAGATTGTACAAACTGAGGCATGTTGTTATCAAATCAGGTGGCAAATTGTTTTGGCTAGCAGCCCTCAGAATTCTTTCTGCAAAATTTGCTAAGTGTAAATGAAAGTCTCACTACAGTTCTAGTGAATTTCTTTTACTCAATCACTTTTCCTTACTTCTCAGTGACCACAACAGGCAGAGAAAAAACACTGGACATTGTGTTAAAAAACTAAACAGTTTCAGATTAGAAATCGTGTTCTGTTAACATCAGCAAGAATGGAAATTAGGGATATTAATGCTGTAATCCTATAGATGCTTAAAGCCTCTATGAGACACAATCCTATAGACACATTCTATTGCTTGGCTACAGTGGAACTTACTTCTTAGTAAATGTGCATAGGATTGTGTTGTTACCACAGTATTAAAAATTGCTCTGACCTAGAACATCAAAATATCTGGGCCCAATATCTAAATTCAGTATTTGCAGATTTAACTAATTCCAAAAATACTAAGAAAAGAGCCACAAAGAGAACTCATTGTACCTTGGAATTAAAACTGCTGGGGAGTTTGGCATTAATTTAGCTACCTGAGTGTACAGCAATGTTTAGCTGCAATTTCAGCACAGACTCCACATTCTTCTTCCACATCACACTCAGTTTTCATCCATGCTTCCAAATGAATTCTCCCGTGTTTTTTTCCTCCCTGGGATTAAAAAAAAAATAAAAGACCTTTCTTCATTCCAGAAAGGTCTTGGCTGCCCCCTCTATCCAGCATCTCCCACTTAAGAGAGAGTTCCTATTATTTGTGTGATACTGATCTGAAAGTCTGTTACAGAACAAGATCACTCCAGATTTTCTTATATACAAGACATCTACCAAATACATTGTTTCCTCTCCAATCCTGAAACAAGTAAAGACCTTACAAGGGACTGCAGAAGACCACTCTATCTCCAAGAGAACGTATATAAATACACTAATTGGCAACTGCCCATAACACTTCAATATTTCGATGTTGCCCAATAGATACAACATATTTTCAAACAATATAACATTTGGCAAATGTGAAGCAAAGTAGTTTTTTTCCTCCACAATACCATTTTTAATGCTATTGTAATTTAATGTATATTAAGTGTCTAGAATAATCATATTCTCAATATATAGAAAAATGCCACTGATTAACTTCTAGAAATTAAAAGTGCAATTGAAAAATAGTTTTCCCTTTGGCTATAACACCACTTCTCCATTACAGCTGTATCAATTTCTATGATTTTCAAAGAATTGCTTGTACAGTCTAAGAATTTGGGGAGCTACAGTCCCAGCACCACTGGAGGGTAACCAGGTTAGGAAAGGCCAGCCTATTGCACATTAAAGTCTCCTTTGGAGTAGGTCTTCAGAGTTCCAGGCAGAGATCTTTTCCAGTTCTGTAATCCAGAGCCTTTAACTGGAAATGCCTAGACTGAGCTAGCAACTCAGTAAAATTCTCAACAACATTACTGAAGTTTTAAGAGAGGCCAAACTACTTTTGACTCCATTGTTATCAGCAAGGAATAAGTGTAGATGCTTATCAAGCATGGATGGATCAAATCACAAAGTGACTGCAAAATTGGCTTATGGAGAACCAAGTTACCCCATAATCATTCTTAGAAGACCAATGATATAACAAAACTTCATAACATAACCATATCTGGGTGAAATGGGAGCTTTTCAAAATCAATAGTTTGGGCACTTAGGTCACAAATCTCCTTCATATCTAATTAATGAAAGAGAAAATCATTCTAAATTTAGAATCCCATTCTGTTCTGCACATTTTAAAGAGGAATACGGTATTGGAAAATAGTATAACGTTCACCACATGCAGCAACTTTGCAGCATTTAGGAACCAATTAAAATTACTTTGGCACTGCCTGAAAAGCCCTGCCTTCAGTATAAGAATTCTGTATTTCTAAAGAGAAATGCCATGCCATACTATGACAAATACTTGGGATAAGTATACAAACAGCACAGCCTACTCAGAAGTCATTGAAACTGGCCTCCAAATAAGCCTAGTTAGGACTGCAGCCTTCAATGAACACAATTCAGTAGGATAATTTCATGTGAAAGGCTTAACCAAAGGCTGGAGGTTCTCAAATGCTGTTGCACTTCTATTCATTTTAATGGATTCAGCACAGAAGACTTCTCAATTGAAGGTGTCCATGGCAGATTTTCAAGCTTCAATTTGTGCATACTTAAAACTCAGTGGATGGGTGGTTGAGGGGAAACATGAAGTCCGCTTTATTGCTTGATAACACTCTGGGTTGTGTATGTAATGCCTTCGGCTTGAACATGCTTAAGGATTGGTCCATATATATCCTTTGTCAATGGGACAATCATACCTTTGGTGTTAATTTCCCCTGAAATATAAAGTAAGAAATGTAATTTTCTATCTGAACAGATTTTAGAGAGGCATAACAGCATAATGTTTCTATAACATTTATTTTAAGGAAGTGTAGATACTCATTTAATAAAAAATATATTGGCACTCTACTTGCAGTTAAAGTTTATGTCTTTACTTAATCCTAAACACTACCTCAAGCATATTAATTTCAAGTAAACAATTCATTTCCGTTTACACAGAGAAAGAAAAAGAAAAAGAGATCCATCACATAAAATGTTGGGGAACTTACTAGGAATATGAGGATAGGATCATTATGGGAAGTTACTCCACATATATTCCTAGAAGGCAGAGGAACAGAACTTCTTATCTTAATGAAATCTCACTGAGTGTAATTGGAGCCCTTTAAAATAAGTAGTTGGGCATTAAGGCTTAACTTACTACATATATAGTATATCACACTGACAAGTATAAGTAAGTAAGTTATGCTTTTTCAGGAGGTGTTTTATAACAATTACCTGAAGCAATCACTTTACATTCAAAGACTCCTCAGTCAAAAGACAGAAAGAAAGATACATACCCTCGAGAACCATCTTTGCTGCAATAGCAGTAGGGTACCCCACAGTTTTTGCCATTGCAGAATACCCTTTATCATCTCCATACACCACAAGATTGATATATTTATCTTCCAAATGACCAGAGGGATGCCTAATTCCTATTTCATTCCTCATAACTATCATATCTCGCTCTCCAAAACCTAAACAAAAGGAAAACATTTAAAAAATTGACAAGTTGTCCGCTTAAAAGTGAACTGCAAAACTATTTCAGGAATAGCACAACTTAATACATTCTGCTTGGTAATTTTTACTAATGTCATATTGAGCAATAATTGTATAACCTCAGTAATTATCTGTTCATTCGTGGATAATTTTTTTTTTTGAAAACACACCTTTGTTTTAAATAAAATAAAAGGATTATAATAAAAAAATAAAACAAGCACAGAGCACTGTTTATGTACCTTTTACAAGAGGTAAAGGAATATATATCTCTATCTATCTGTGTGTTGTTGCTAAGTAAAGTTTTAACTGTAAAAAAAAAAAATTACTTATCAAACTCAATTATCACTAACTTTGTAATAAAATTAAAATGCATAAAAAACTGAGCACAATTTAACTTGAATCCAAATCATACTGAAGATTCACTTTTCTATTGAAAAGGGCCATGTGATAGCGATTTGCGACCTTCCCTGACAGATTCCAACAAGCAAAGTCAATGGGGAAGCTGGCAGGAAGTTGCAAGTTGTGATCATGTGAGGTCCTCGCTTAATGACCTGCATGGTCCTCGCTTAATGACCGCATCTGGGACTGTCAGAACTGTTGCTAAGTGCCGTGGTCTCATGATTTTTCAACTTATGACCACAATTGCTTAACAATGGATTTTCCAGTCCTAATTAGCATTGTTAAGCGAGGGCTACCTGTACTATATCGTTTCAATGGTATAACACCTCAATGCTCAGCTGCTCCCTGGACATTAGTTAGGATAGGTTGGATGAATCCAACTGGTAGTTAGGTATTTCCTTAGATGAGGTTATACTTCTTTTTATAATTGCTGACAAATCTATCTTATGCTTTTCATCAGAAAATGCTACCAGAGATGCTTTCATAAAACCAACAACAAAAACTTGCATATCATTTTATCACTCTTAGCTGGCATCAACATATTGCCTCATATTTTGTAAAGTTTAGAGAGAAAAGAAGCTGTTATCTCAGCACAGTCAGCAATGAAGGCTCTGCTTTTTCTTGTCTTACCCTCTAATGTAGCCTAATGGAACTGCACTTAAAGGATGAGGGAGAGGAGCTGACCAGAACAGCTACTTGCCTCTCCTCACAACCATGTATGAGGGGTAAGGGACAAGGGACAAAATCTGTGCCATATCATGACACAAACCCTAACTCATACAAGTGCATCAGTTGTTGGAGATCACATGTGTAACAGCAGGGGTTGCACTGTATCGCCACATATGCATGTGCCATCATTTCTCCATCATCAGGACTAGCTGCAGGTGTCTAAGTTCACTATTGACACAGAGGACTCTTCTTTATCTTTGCAGATTCATAATGACTCAATACACAATAGTAGTTCAAGGTGTACTCTTCTGTGATTTATTTCCAAATAGTTACTTTAAACCATCTTGTCTAGCTATCTTGTCCATTCCACAGAAGAAGAAGAGAAAGTATCTGCCCATCTTTTTCATCCAAAGTCACACTAAAATCATCAGAATGAATTTATTTCAAACTGATTTCAGGAACAACAGAGCCCTATTGACATATGAAGACAATTGCACAGTGTCAGAACCTCACAATCAATTAACCAGCATCATAGCTAGCTTGCTCAGTTCTTCCATAGTAGTAGGGGGGGGGGGCTAGGTGAATAGCGGTTAGAGCAGATGGCCTGTTATCTAGTGCTCAAGAATGCCAAGGTCATGCCGGCGTGAGAGGAGGAGAAGGCACCAGAAAGACCGAACAGGGGAAGCGGGGGCAAGGAACAAGGGACTAAGAGACCGTTGGCACATGCAGGCTTTTCAGTTCCAGCAATCTCTACCCTGGCTGTATGTTAACTCTCAATAAACTGATTTTCTTTTGGACTTGCTGAGTTCCAGAGAAGGTTTCTTTTTATTGGGGTTGGAAGCTGCAGTTCCTGACACACAGTCTAACGCAGACGCTCTCCAACTCTTCTGTCATCCCTGGGTTGAAGAGATGCCCTGGATGTGGTGGCATTACTCCATGCAACTGGGAGCTTTACTTGCACAAGGTAGCAAAACATGCTTGATTACAGTTTATCTTTAGAGCTGCTCCACCAACAGGGGAACTTTGGGGAGAAGGGAGAGAGTTACTCCACACTTTCATATATATTCTCTTCCATGTTTCAGCAGGATTATTCATTCCTGGGACTAAAACCAGTGCCTTACTTAGGCTAACTGGTGTTCAAAACTAAAATGCAAACAGTCGATAGATTAAACCAATATCATTACTAATCTGAGGAGTGGGGTCCGTAGAAGAATGTCAAAAGGAAACAGGAACTGATTGTTCTCAAACTTTGCCCAAATGAAACAAACCAGGTGTGCCAGCAGTAAAACCTGCTACAGTATCAGAAAATACAGCTATGGGGGGAAAGCATGTCACCTACCATAAGAGAGCTTGGCTTCCATGTGCTTGGCCAGTGCATTCACTATACTATGTGCTGTTGGAACAGGTTCATCTCCAAGTAATCCCAACCTGAAAGGCAGGTAAAAACAGGTAATGCCAAGAACAGTAATAAGACATGGAATTCAAGCTCAGAGCTTGAACCACCTAAAGGAGAATCAGTGCGGTACAGTTTGATCAACAGGTGTAAAGGACAGAAGGTAAAGTACCTGAACTGTCCTTTTCTTCTAGCCGTGTCTGAACAAGTATTATTATTACTGCTACCCTGAAAATTAGGTTTTCATGTTCACATGTAGGCTATGTAACCTGAACTTACATGAATTTCTGGGACAATTTACTTATTAAATATTCACACCCTAAAGAATCAAACTGGGAAAACAAGCCTGAAAATCTATACCCTAAGTACACGCAAAAGGTTGACAAAGATGTATGAATTACACTTCCTGTATATGACTCACAGAGAAGCAAAATCATGATGCCAAGTCTCTCCCCAAACTCTATGAGTTCACTCCATATATTTATGAAGCATGCACAAATTTCGCATTGTGATGTAAGCAATGGATGAAAAGCTGTACAAAAGCATCTCTCTCAAGGGTTTCAGGTTGCTACCATGCTTTTATTCTCCTTGTGTACATTTGCTATATAGATAAGGGACTCTATAAACAAATACTAGAAATAAGATTATGTAGCAGGGAAATTCTTAGTTTTTCCTTTCCTTAGGGGGCAATTCACTACCCTAATGATCAACGTAAAGTCTGGGAGTGCTTTTGTGCTTTGGTACTATGGTTTTCCTGGGGGAGACAGACTTTTCTGCTGTCATACATTTTTGTGACCTTCAATATGACAACTGTAATGCATTATTGAGGTATTCAGCATGGTATTCAGAATCAGAATATGACCGATACTTTCAGATCTGCATTCATTTTTTGCTCTCTCTATAATTAGTCTCATTAATAAATTTACTTTTTTTTCTAAAATTATTACACTATTCTTATTTGCATTTGAGGGCTGGCAGCTAAAAAAGCAGTAAATTAACCTCTACCAGTCATCTTGCAAACAAATCCAAGTACTGATTTATTCACTGAGCCAAACCTTTCCAGCCAAACCTTTCATCCTGATGCACATTTTAAAGAAAAACAGTGTAGCAGCCCAGCGTATCAAATACCTGAATACTAGAACTGGGGGGGGAAAAAGTGGGGGGGAGACATACGCAATCCTAGCATTTCTACCATACCATTCCACTGCTTCCAACTGTTTTTCATTCCCATTCAGGTGGTTGTAGACGGCCTGTCGGAGTTCATCATATTTGACAGAGGGCTGAAGTCCAAGTAACTTACACATTAACTCTTTCTAAATACAAAAAGTTTAAGAAAAATGATTGAAATTCTGAAAGCCAAGGCACCGAGGGCTTAAGAAAATTGCATGAGATAAGGGGAAAAAAAAAATACAGGGAAAAATACATTTCAGAAATCTTCAGTTAATTACAGTTCAGAAATTCCTCAAGACTACCACGGCTGGACACAGATAAAAGGGTACTGATGATGATGAGGAGGAGGAGGATGAGGATGATGAGGATGAGGATGAATTAAATTTATATCCCACCTGACTCCCAGTGACTCTTAAATAGATATATGTATTGGCCATCAATAGAGCATTTCATAACCATATTTTGTAATTGTATTTTTCTAATGGTTTCAATTAGCTGCTAGTTCATGCAGTAGTGAAAACAGTTTAGCTTGCAAATGATGTGCCATAATGTCCATCCTAAAAGCCTTTTTACAAGAAGTACAGTTCTAAGGATAATTTTAAATGCAACACTTATATGTGGGCTCTGTGTATATACCTTCCATTTACTTTCCCTTTGGCTTGTTTTATACTATGGGCAGGAAACAAATGAACTCATAAACAAGGAGTTCTTCTCCATCCCTGGCATGGAAGTTTAAAATTGTATTGTCATCGTCATTGAAAGATTTAATGGCTGGCTCAAAATTAAGATATATAAGGCTGACAGACACCTTTATTGGCCTCAGCACAAGAATCGTTTTATAGAAAAGAAACAGCAGGCAAAGAAAAATGGTTAACATATCGAGGAAATACAGGAAAATGGAGCACTTAAGATGAAATCAAGAGAGCAAGTGACTGTAGAAGGTTTACTTTTT